CCTGGAATTCCTTCCCATCCTTATCTTCCTTGGGGAATCCTGGTCATCTTTCAAGCCCCAGTTCAAAGGTCACTTCCTCTGTGAAGCCTTCTGCAGTTTCTCCCCTATAGAGCTGGTCAGTCCCTCCTCTGTGGTCCCTTGGTCCCTTCTTTCATGCTGCTGCCCCAGCACTTACCACATCAGACTGTGCTTGTCTGTTTACACACCTGTCTCCCCCAGTTGACTCTGAGCTCCACCAGGGGCGTGTCTTATACATCTCTGTATCCCCAGCACACAGCAGACACCCAGTGTTTGCTAAATGAACTAGTGAAGGAGAGACAGAGAAAGAGAGATGACGACACTCCCAGAGGGAAGAGGGAAGAAGAGCAAGACAGTGGGAGTGAAGGGGCACAGAGAAGCCTGGCGCCCAGCAGGAAGGGGAGGAGGGCCGGCAGACAGGAGCTGATGGGGGTCACCCACAGACGGCCCTGTCCTCCAGGAGCCCTAGCCAGAAGAGGAGTGGTGGGCAGACAGCCCTGGCCCAGCACCACAAGGCACTCATCCATGTGGTGGACTGATCAAAGGGGCCGCTCAGGTGGGAGGGAGAAGACGTACAGAAGAGGATACAGTGGCCCAGACAGGATGGGCTGGGGTATTTGAGGGAAAACACAGGCTGGCCCCTGCTGCCCCCACTGCAGTGTTCATTTGGCCGCACTCCCCTGGGATGTCACATGCCCAAGTAACACTCCTCCAGCTTACCCAGCCCCCTTCCCCACACCCGACCCTTCCTAAACCCAGGGCAAACCTCGCTGCAGGGCTCCTCCAAGCCTCTGGCCGTACCAGTGCTGTGGCCGATGCTAAAACAGAAAGCTCAGCCAGGCCCAGCAGCCTGAGCCAGCTGGGGCTTCGTGGTCACAGGTGGGCCCCCGGGCGTCTCCTCCCCTGGGAGGCACCCACACTCTCCCAAGTTGACTCTTCATGGACACCTGAAATACTAGAGCATCCTGTGGGTCCTGCCAGCTCTTCTCCAGGTCAGGCCCAGGGAAGCTCTACCCTCTCCTGCAGCCAGCTAGGACGCTGGGCCGCAACACAGTGAGCTCCAAGGAAAGACCTTCTCTTCCAAACAAAGTACGTCTCAGCACCAGGCCCCTGAGAGTACAAACCCAGAAACCACAGGAATAGCCATCTAGAGACAGGGCTGAGTGGACATCGGTCCTGGAAGGAACGTCAGCCACTCGGGCTCAGCGGCCTGGACTTGGTGCTGCTCCTCCCACGTCACCCCACCTCACCCCATCTCCACCTCACTCAGCACACAGCTCACCATCTACTTCACAGAGAAAAGAGACCCACCTGTTAATGCCAATGTGTAGCCTGCTGGGTACACATTAGAATCACCTGCAGAGCTCTTTAAATAAACAAATGATGCCTGAGTCCTGTCTCAGACCAATTAAATCAGAATCTCTGGGGGTAGGATTTAGGTAACTACATATTTTAAATGTTATTGAAGTATAATTTACATATAGAAAAGTGCACGTAAAATAAGCATACAATTCAATGCATTTCAGAAACAAAACATCCCTGGAAACCACCCCTCAGAAGCCCCTCCTGTTCCTTCCAGTCTCACTGCCGCCTCCTACCCCCACCCCCAACCCTCAAGGACAACCATCACCCTGATTTCCAACAGCACAGATTGGCTTTGCCTCGTTGGGGACTTTCTATGAGTGGAATCACACTGTACATACTCATTATGCATTTGTGAGATTCATCCGTAGTGTTGCGCGTAGTGTAAACTGTGCATTTTCACGAGTGTTTGGAATTCTGTTCTATGGACATACTACAATTGATTCATTCATTTTACTACTGATGGGCATCTAGGCAGTTTCCAGTCTTTGGTTGTTACAAAAGTGCTATGAACATTCCCATACCTGTCTTGTGGACACAGGTATTCATTTCTACAGGTAAACACTTAGGATTGGAATTGCTGGGTCATAAGGTAGGCGTATGTTCAGCTTCAGGCTTTTAAAGGCTCTCAGGTGACTTTAAACCCGTAGCCAGCATTAAGAAACCACTGAATGGACCCTGCCCCCACCCCTCCTTTCTTTGTGGCTCGGAGAGAGAAGCATACTTCCTGGTCTCCAAGGCCAATCCTCCCTCCTGGGCTCTGACCCTCCTATGCCTTCGCCCTGCCCCTCTGGAGTTCCAGGAACATCCTTGGCAAGATGAGGAATCACATTGTTAATAGAGATTTCCTTCATCTGTTAAGGACACAGCACATTTACTAGGTTGTGCCAAGGAAGTAAGAAGACCAGCTTTCCCATGTGGCAGAGGCCGGCTGTGAACCACACCATGTCCTTCCCAAGAGCCTCCCTACCTTCTCTTGGGAACACAGTCCCAACACACAGCCCAGAAGCTGATTGACAAGACCTCCTCGAAGGGAAACTGGAATAATGTGGATAGAGTCAGGCTCATCATCAATATGCTGAGACTTGAAGATAAAAGGTAGTCTTATTTTGCAAAAAATAATTCTAGTATTTCTTACACAGAAGCTGTACCTCACTTTTTATTTTCTAAGCTAATATTCCATATCTAGGACAGCTGCTTTGCCATTTCTACTGCCTAGAAAAGGGGAGAGAAATCCCATGATTGAATTCCATACCGAGTGTAAGGGAGTGGGGCTCCATGAGTTGGGGGGGCCCCTCACTGGGTTCCAATCCAGCTGTCCCTCTCAGCAACCCTGGCAAAGGACTCAAGGAGGGGCAGGCATTCAGCATTGTCACAAACCCTACTTCCCAGGAGCTGCTCTGAGAACATCTGGGCCAGGAACGTGCTTAGTGTCCCTTTACCACCTGCGGCACCTTTGAAATGAAGAAGGATGTGGAAGGCCAGAGGCCCTGCTGCCCAAGATGTCACAGTTTGTACCAAATGATCCTGGCCACAGCCGACAGAACCATGGTGTGCTCCAGACCCAAGTAAAGCCATCCACGAGCTCACCGGCAGTGTCTTGAGAGTAAAAAGATGAGCTGGCCCATCAGATTCCCTTTCTAATGAATCCTAACTGGGAAATACAAGATGTGAAGTGAAGCCAGAGGCAGTGAACAGGCAGCAGAGAGCTGCAGGTATGCTGGAGCAGAATCTCTGCGTGCATCGGGGACTGGGTCTAGAGTGAGAGTAGAGGGCGCAGGGTGCAAAGAGAGGCAGGGGCTGTGGGCCAAGCCCCCGGTCTGGGAGAGCAGAGCGAGTTCGCTCCCTTTGGCTGCCCATTAACTTTCAATTCTGCTTCCAGGGCCTGAGCACTCACAGCCAGACGAGAACCCTCCACACCTGGTTTGCCCAAAGAATGCAAACCAGGGCACACATGTGATGTCGTTTAGGCCATTAATGTGGGGCAGGTGATACTACCTACATTTCACAGGGGGAGAACAGAGGCTCAGCTGGGTTCAGTGACTTGCCCACACACAGTCATTGTCAGGGCCAGGACTTCATGGAGGTCTGCCTGACACCCAAACCTGGCTCCCCTAAGGAGCCTTCAGGGCCAGGAAGGGGAAAGGACTCTGTTCAAACCAAGTCAAGCCCTGTTAGCGGAGGGAGCCCTTGGGGAGAAAGGAGGTGAACAGATCTGGCTCATGATCTCCTCTAATCCTCAGTTCAGCTTGAGTTCTGCAAGGGAGATGGCATCAACCCCATTATACAGATGAGGAAACTGAGGCCCACGTAAAGCACCTTGCTCCTGACCACGTAACTGGAAAGTAGTGGAGCTCGATTCAAACTCCAGTCTGGCTGAAAGTGTGCCCTCTTTCTACTGTGGCACACTGCCTGGAGGGCTCAAGGGCCCTGGAATTCTGCCTTCTCCTGTAGCTTTCCCTGAGTGCAGGGCCAGGCCCTAGCTCTCTCCAAAGGCCCCAGTAGATGAGGTCTAGAGGAGGGAGAGAGGGGGGTCTCTTGGGCTGAGATGACCATACAGGGGCCCCTCTGGGTTCCCTTGGTCAGACCCCCACCCCCCAAGCCTTTATCTCCTCTACTCAAAGAACCAAACAAACTGGGAGAGCTAGTGGCTCAGGAGGAGATGTGGGCTGGCCTAGCCCTCTGGAGGTGGCTGGATCCAGCCTGAACAAGGACCCCTATGAGCTTTGGTGCTAACAAGAACTCCTACCTACAGGGATCTCAGAAACCCCTGGGTCCTCCCAGCCCTTAGCTGCTTGGTTGACTGGACCAGCCCTGGTTAAAGGGCCCCAGTCTTCATTTACCCTGCTCCCTGACCTCCCATCCAGGCCTGAGCTCTCTCAACACACCAGAAAGGCCCAGCTCCTCATGGGGATGGAATTCAGGAGTAAAGTGCTCAGGCTCTGCCTGGGTCCTGCTTATCCACCCTGCTGCTGACCTAGATGGAGTCCCCCTTGTTCTCACTCCCCAGTCCCTCTTCCTCCCTGAAGCCTGGCTGGCCTGCACCTCCAGGGAGAGCAGACCCTTCCCTCCCTGTGTCCACACACGGTCTGCTCAGATATCCTCCTTTGCTGCGCTGCCTGTTTATGTGGCTGTCTCCCCACTAGACTGAATTATTCATCTCTTACCCCAAGGCCTTGAACAGCTTCAGGCATACAGTAAGTGCTCAATAACTGTATACTGAATAAACAAATGCTCTTACCTGAAAAGCTCCTCTGTGTAGGCTGCTCAGCAGCAGTGGGGCCTCGGGACACAGACACAAGACTTGGAGTGACAGCAACTCACTCAAGTTTGCTTCTGCCCCCCTAGCCCTCTGAGTGGCCCCCAGTCACGTCCCACTGAGTTGGCTCCTCTACAAAATGGGGAAATCCCCTCCCCACCCTGCAGACCTGCGGGGCTGCTGTGAGGATCTGAGAGGTCACGGCCCAGCCCTGGGGAAGGGCCAGCCCTCACAGCCTTGCCCACTGAGCCTCACACACCCTGCCAGCACCAGTGAGAGCTGAGTTGGCCCCACGTCCCATCATGTCCCATGAAGGATGCCCAGAGGTGCAGCTCCCCATGGGAGGTAGGGATGGTGGCACCACCGGGCCCCAAACTGCACCCACAAAACTCCATACATGTCCCGCGTGACTGAATCTTTCCCCGGGACTACAGCCAGAGAGGGCTGCAAGCAGGACCCTCTTTACACGTGGGCCACACCCAGTGCCAGCCTCCCACCCATCTTGGGCCCGGAGGCACTCCCACAGCTCAGGGCCAGCCATGCTCAGATCCCACCCTCCCTTCACCTTCCTCAAACCACCAGAGGTTTGAGGCCAGCAGCTGCTGCCCCCTTCCTGGCCAGAGCTCAAAGGTCTGCAGAGTGAGAACTGTCACTAGGGAGACAGACGGGACAAACAGCTGAAACCCGGAAGCTTTGCTCCGGGGGATATCCAGGATTTCCTACAAAGCCCAGGCCACACCACGGAGCAGTGGTTGGTTCTGCAGAGACTGACTCGCCTGTCGCTAGCCTCGTCCCGTAGTACCCACTGCTGTAGTAGCCCATCTGTTTGAGCTGGCACCCCTGGATCTGCTCACAGACCACTTTTTCTTGGCAGGCCACTTGGGGCCTGGCTGTTTCCAGACAAGAAGCTGGTCATTCAGGTCTAAAAACAGACTTGCATTCATTAAGAAACAGAGCACCCCTGTGCTCCTGGTGGCCACCCTCCGCCAGGCCTGCTGAGGGGAGGGCCCACGGACAGCCTCAGCTGCTCAGACGCCCCCACTCGAGGCTGCCAGGGGGTGTGGCTACTCTTGGGACAAGTCAGCTCTGTCCATCCACGGATACCAGCCAGCAGATCCCACTCCAACCACCCTGCGACACCCACCTCAGAATCACTCTGGCTTTGTGGACCCACCAGGCTCTTCTCAGGGCTCAGGCAGGTTTCAGGGGACTCAGGGTCCTGAAGGAGCCTGGGCATGGGGACAGGAAGACAAGGAGGCAGGCCTGGAAGTACCTCTCTCTGCAGAGGGGCCTTGGGGAAGCCACTCTCTCTTTCTGGGCCTCAGGGACTCCTCTGCAAAGGGGCAAGAAAGTCTGAGCCCAGGAGGGTAAGCAAATGTTGTCTGAGAGAAAAACAAAGCAGAGCCAGGAACTGGGTGACCTGCAGATGGCCACTGGGCCTCTGTGGTCAGAGGAACCCCCATCCCAGGAGAGGCCGGCAGGAGCACAGTCCTCAAAGGGCTGCCGGCCTCTTTGCCTCCCTCCTACAAACACCAATTGAATGCTTGCTATTCGCTCAGCTCTGTGTAAGTGCTGTTTATACCAAGAGGGATAAGGCGAGCTACTATCCCCAGAATGCCTGGTGGAGGGGCAGACATGAACAAATATTTATAAAAATCAATACATAATTAGAACTGTGTAATATAGGCTATGAAGGAAAAGCACAGCGTCCTAGGAGCACCCCTATCAGGGAGTCCTGACTCAACCGTGGAGAGCAGGGAAGACTTCTCTGAAGCAGCAGCAGCATTTGAGCTGATAGCCAATGGATGCTCATCAGATGGTGGGGGTTAGTTGGGAAGGGGTCATTGTAGAAGGGTTATGATGTGCAGAGGCCCTGAGGCCAGAGGTGTGTGGCATCTATGAGGAACATACAGAGCCTTTGTGTCTGGAGGGTAGAGGTGAGTAGTGAAGTGGTGAGCAATAAGGCTGGAGAGGTTGGCAGGGCTAGATCATGAAGGGCCCTGTGAACCCCAGTAACAGTAAGAGCTTTTGGTCATTATCTTAAAAGCAATGGGGAACCAATGAAGGGATTTAAACAGAGAAATGCACTATCAACTTTGTGTGTTAAAGAAATCACTCTGATACATAGATTTGCTCCAACGTAAGCCAATGGAGGTGGGGCAGGGGGAATGGAGGGTGAGTATTGATAAAATAGGACAACCTGGTGCTTATTGTAGCTGGGTGATGGATACACGGGGGTCCACCCTACAACTCTCTCTTCTTTTGTATATGTTTGATATTTTCCATGGAGACAGATCGTTAGAAGACTGTATTTCAGCAGAAAGATGATGTTTCCGTCTTGGTGGCATTGGTGATGAAGGGCCAGGGATGGATTTAGGATATATATTCCCAAAAAGAATCAACATCACTTGGTGATCAGTTGGATGTGGGGCATAAGGGAGAAAATGTCAAATATGACTCTAAATTTCTGGCTTAAGCAAGCAGGATACTGCTGTTTTACTGAGACAAAACAGAGAAAAATGTAATGGAAATGTATCGGAAAAAGAGCATATTTGGAGGAAACAATCATGAATTCAGTCTTGAACATGTGTGAGAAACATTTAAGTAGAGATGTCAAGCTATATGAGAGTAAAGAGCTCAGAAGAAAGGTCCAGACTGGAGGGATAAATTTCTGAGTTACTGGTCTATGGATGAGTACAGGAGCTAGGAAGATTCCCCAGGGAAAGGGGGTACATAAAGAAGAGAAGCTATCAACAAGTGTGCCAAGACCAATTCAACGGGGGAAAGAATAGTTTTTTCAACAAATGGTGCTGGAACAACTGGGTATCCACATGCAAAAGAATTAATTTGGACCCCTATCTCACAGCATATACAAAAATTAACGCAAAAATGTCAGACCTAAAACTATAAAACTCTTAGAAGAAAACATAGATGTAAATCTTTGTGACCTTTGATTTGGCAACGGTCTGTTAAGATATGAGACCAAAAGCACAAGAAACAGAAAAAAAAGCTTAATTGAACTTCATCAAAATTAACATTTGTGCTGCTAATGATATCATCAAGAAAGTGAAAAGACAACCCACAGAATGAGAGAAAATATGTGCAAATCATATATCTGATAAGGGGCTAGTATCCAGAATATATAAAGAATGCTTAGAATTTTGAATATATTATACTAAGTGAAATAAGCCAGTCACAAAAATAGAAATACTGTATGATTCCACTTATATGACGTATCTAGAGTAGTCAAATTCATAGAAACAGAAAGTAGAATGGTGGTTGCCAGGGGCTGGAGGGAGGCGGAAATGAAGAGTTAATGAGTATAGAGTTTCAGTTTTGCAAGATGTAAAAGTTCTGGAGATTGGTTGCACAACAATATGAATATACTTAACAATACTGAACTGTAAAAATGAACTTAGAAATGGTTAAAATGTTAAATCTTATATTACAAGTGTTTTTTTTAACCAAAATTAAAAATTAAAAAAAAAGAACTCTTACAACTGAACAATAAAAAGACAAATAAGCCAGGGGCCGGCCCCATGATGTAGTGGTTGGGTTCGGTGTGCTCCGCTTTGGCAGCCCAGGTTTGCGGGTTCAGCTTCTGGGCGCGGACCTACACCACTGGACAGCCATGCTGTGGCAGTGACCCATATACAAAGTAAAGGAAGACTGGCACAGATGTTAGCTCAGGGCTAATCTACCTCAAGTGAAAAAAAAGAAAAAAAGACAAATAATCCAATTAAAAATAGGCAAATGTTGGAATAAACATTTTTCCAAGGAAGATGTCAAATGACCAATAAGTGCATGAAAAGATGCTCAATATCATTTGCTATCAGGGAAATGCAAAGCAAAACCACAATGAGGGGGCCGGCCCCGTGGCTTAGCGGTTAGGTGCGCGCGCTATGCTGCTGGCAGCCTGGGTTCGGATCCCAGGCGCGCACCGACACACCACTTCTCCGGCCATGCTGAGGCCGTGTCCCACATACAGCAACTAGAAGGATATGCAACTATGACATACAACTATCTACTGGGGCTTTGGGGGAAAAAAATAAATAAATAAAATTATAAAAAAAAAAACCCACAATGAGTTACACCCACTAGGAGACTATAATCAATAACAGATGTTGGTGAGGATATGGAGAAATTGGAACCGTCATACATCACTGGTGGGAACAGAAAATGGTGCTATTGCTCTGGAAAACAGTTTGGTGGTTCCTCAAACGGTTAAACACAGAGTTACTATATGACCTAGCAATTCCACTCCTAGGTACATACCCAAGAGAATTGAAAACATATGTCCACCCAAAATGTTGTACAAGAACGCTAATAGCACCATTATTCATAATAGCCAAAAAATGGAAACAACTCGGGCCGGCCCCGTGGCTTAGCGGTTAAGTGCACGCGCTCCGCTGCTGGCGGCCCGGGTTCGAATCCCGGGCGCGCACTGACGCACCGCTTCTCCAGCCATGCTGAGGCCACATCCCACATACAGCAACTAGAAGGATGTGCAGCTATGACATACAACTATCTACTGGGGCTTTGGGGAAAAAAAAATAAATAAAATTAAAAAAAAAAATGGAAACAACTCAAATACCCATCAACTGATGAATGGATTATCAAAATATGATATATCCATACAGTGTAATATAATTCAGCCATAAAAAGGAATGAAGTACTGATACATGCTACAACATGAATGAATCCTAAAAACATGATGCTAAGTGAAAGAAGCCAGTCACAAAAGACCACATATTGTATGATTCCATGTATAGGAAACATCCAGAATAGGCAAATTCGTAGAGACACAAAGTAAATTAGTGGTTGCCAGGGCTGCCGGGAGCGGGAAATGGGAAGTGACTAATGTGTACAAGGTTTCTTGTTGGTGTGATGAAACTGTTCTGGAATTAGTGATAATGGTTGCACAACTTTGGGAATACTAAAAGCCACCGAATTGCACACTTTAAAAGGGTGCATTTTATGGTGTATGAATTATATCTTGGAGGAGGAGGAGGAGAGAAGTCTGGGACCTGAAGAACCACAACATTTAGATTGCATGGAGGAAGAAGAGGAGTTCCCCCAAAGAAATTAGGAGAGAGTCGCCCAGGTGGGCCAGTGAAGTCGCTGACAGACCAAGTAGAAGGAAGACTGAAAGGCAGTCACTGACTTTAGCAACATGGAGAGGATTGGTAGCTTCAGCCAGGACAACTTTGGTGCGCTAGTGGGAATCTGAATCCAGACTCAGGCCTGTTCCTCCTGCCTCCCTCCCAGGCAGGTGACTACATCCCAGGGATGGAGAGGGGATAGGCCTCTGAGCACAAGCGAGGATGCTGTTGAGCACAGCTGGAAGCCCAGGTCACTGGCCAGCTCAGGGCCACACCAACCTCAGATCCTGCCTTCCTCCCAGTGAAAGACCACGGAGGATGGGAAGGAGAAGGGATTGTACACCCCTGAGGAGGTTGTTTGCCGTTGGGGAGGAGGGGTGCTGTCCTTGCTCGCAGCCTCACTGCCTGGTCCACCCTTCCCCAGTCATCCTCACCTGACTCTCCACCCTTGGTGCGTGTCTGCCACAGCCTGCGCACGGCAAGTCCATTCTCTGCGCCTGCCTCTGGAAGGGCTGGGAAGCCCAGGGTCACCCGGCGCGGAGAGGGCAGCCACACCCAGAATTCCAGCACAGCACTTAGCGCCAGCTCCCGGAGGCGGCGGCCCCGGCGCCAGAGAGCCCGCCGGCCTGGCCCCGGCCCACCCTTTGGTGGGGGCTGGTAGGTCCTCGGGCGTGAGAGCAAAAGCTTGCGCAGCCTGGGGGCGCTGTTGCGAGTGCAGCAGCCGCGCACGCACCTCCTGGCCTCCCTGAAAAGGGAGCCCGTGCCCCATCCGAGACGCCCTCTTGGATTGGTGCCCAGCACCAAACCGGGTAGCTGGCCCGCATCTGGGACGCCCCAAGCAGGGTCGGGCTCGGCACCCTACCGCAGGCTCCGGCCACCTCGGCTCCCCCAAGCTGTGCTTCAGCTAAGGGTTCGGATTCCTGAGCAATGACCAGAGTTTGCTGGGTCCTGGGACCTCTTCCTCCAGGGAGAACCCCAGATTGTCTAACTGGTGGAAACTCTCTAGGAGTGCCCGCCACTATTCAGTGTTGTTCTAGAGGTTCTAGCCATTGCACAAAGGCAAGAAAAAGAAATAAAAGGTTTATATATTAAAAAGAGATGATTATTATTTGAAAGATGGGAACATTACCGAGGGGACACACAATCAACTGAAAAACCATGAGAAAGTGGCCCAGATAGTCTTACATTTGGGCACTGGGCTAGGCAGAGCTGTGACCGGGATAGACACATAATGAACTCTTATGGAGCTAATTATTAGTTTAGTGGTTACAAGAGCAACATAAAAATCAATAGTTTCTCTGTAGACCTGCAATAAACAGTTATAAAATATATTTGGGAAAAGGATTCTATTCATATGGCAACAACACATATAAGAGATCCAAGAATAAACTTTTAAAATGTAGAAAATCGATGAGAAGAAAACCACAAACATTTTTAAAATGACATAAAAGAAGACTTGAATAAATGGAGAGACAAACTCTGTTCTTGAGTGGGAAGATCCAAAGTTTAAAGACGCACATTTATCCCAAATTTAATGCAAGGGCTTTGCCCTACCAGATGTCAGAACAAACTACAAAGCTAGAGGAATTAAAATAGACGGTATTTACTGGCTTAGGAAAGATTAATAGATAAATAGAACACAAGAAGGAGTCCAGAACATTGTCTACAGGTATCTGAGAATTTACTGTGCAATAAAGAAAGTGTTTCAAATAAGTAAGAAAAGAATGGATTGTCCAATAAATGGTATTGGGGCAATGAGGTACCTCACATCATTCACAAAAATAAATTTCAGGTAGACTAAACATCCAAATATTTTCTAAATCAATAAAGAGGTAGGGCTGGCCCCGTGGCTTGGCGGTTGAGTGCGTGCGCTCCGCTGCTGGCGGCCCGGGTTCGGATCCCGGGCCTGCACCGATGCACCGCTTCTCCTGCCATGCTGAGGCCGCGTCCCACATGCAGCAACTGGAAGGATGTGCAACTGTGACATGCGGCTGTCTACTGGGGCTTTGGGGGGAAAATAAATAAATAAAAATTTAAAA